TTTTCATTTAAAGGGATTATTGCTTGATCTAAATGTCTTGAATTGCTTTGATGAAAACTTAAATATTAGGATTAGGAAGATTTTTTCCTGTGCCGTGGGGTATATTATAATTGCATAAATACATTTTTAATTTATAAAAAATAATATATGTTAAAATAACGATTTTTTTACCATTTTTCAGTTAAAGGGATTATTGCTTGATCTAAATGTCTTAAATTGCTTTGATGAAAACGTAAATATGAGGATTAGGAAGATTTAAATGGTCACTTTTAAGTACGTTGCGCGTAGTGTTTTGTAAGACACCATTTTGCATGATGTGCATGTGTCAGCGGCGGGTGTTCAAAAAATAAACAACTAATTCCACTCAACTTCCATATCTTTGTGGTACCTTTGAAACCTAATTGATATGCAATATGTGTAATAGTGCCAAAGTATATTAAAAAAAGATCAATTATAGTAAATAAATCAAATAATTATTATAATAAATCAATAATAATAAAGAAATTAAACCCGTCATACAAATAAAAATAATGAATTTATAAGTAAACCATAAAAATGAATAAACCAAAAATAAATTTATATGTCTGATATGATATTGAAAAATAATTATATTTCTTTGCAATTAATTTAATTATATTTTCTGTATGTTTATATTTTAGGCGAAATCATAGGTGAAACGCTGTATTTTTCACTACATTTATTTTCATTTTTCTTTCACTTTGGCTACGTTTCGTCTATGATGGATGCCATCTATAATAACCATACACAATCAGTTTCATAAAAAAAAAAAAAAAAAAAACATTTAACACAATATGATAGTGATGTTACTCACGGGTGATAAATATTCAGGACGCAGTCTTTATAAAGATTTTATTGGTGCCGACTTTTCCACCCAAACATGTGGGTCATCATAAGGGCGTTTTTCGAGCTCTGGAAGTATTCAGTACTAAATGACCCACATGTTTAGGTTGAAACGTCGGGACCAATAAAAACATTATAATGACTGTGTCCTGAATATTAATCACCCATGATATGCAGAACAGTTGACAAATTTCCTTCAACGATGTTAGTCATCTATTAAAGAGCAACATCGTATAAATTATAATCCTAATAGATATTAGTTAATTAAAATTGTAATTTGGTGGTAATATTTGCATATGTAGTATTTGGCCCTTGCCAAACCGTGTAATTTTCAGGCAGACACTAAAGAGTTAGTGGTAGATATGCAAATATTATCACTAAATTACAATTTTAATTAACTAATATCTTTAACAGTTTACATAATAGGGAATAGTAGAAATAACAATTTATTAACATGTAACTTTTCAATCACACAATCCCATTGAGATTATAAACCAATTATGGACTGAACAGAAAGAGCAGTAGTTCTCATTGTATACTAAGTAAGAACATTAAAGTTCACTAGGAATCAATATCTGATTGACCTTACATTAATATATGCAAACTAATTTATGAAATATTATTATACTATGCTTTATTTTAATTAATTGAATTGTGAATTGTCGTAATGACTTGACCCTATTAGCGTTATAATTTATATATTGTTACTTTTTAATAGCCTCGCGCGGGCTCATTACCGCGTATGGGGAGCGTCCCACGGGTGGCGGATGTGGGGATGGTCGGTGGAAATTCCTCCCGGCTAAGTCCGATGGACTCGCTGACCAACAATGAGAGGGGCCCTCCAGACGTGCTGGAGGGAGGGGACCTCCAGACTTGCTGGAGGTAGGGGCCTACCAGACTTGCTGGAGGGTGTGACGTACGATTGAACGCCCTACTCACATATCTTAAGTTCACCAAACACCACAAAAAGTCAAGGATCTCCCTAAGGTAAAACGCTCATTATCCGGAGGTAAACTAGTCCCCCGTTCGGGTCTCCGGGTGGGGACTGCTTTAGGAGATTCATGGTGCAAGTTGAAATATAGGGATTTAAATATTGGTACGTGGAACGTAAGGAGTTTAAACACCGCAGGGGGGCTAAAATCGGTCGCGAATGAGGTAAATGGGGACAATTTGGATGTCGTGGCTCTGCAAGAGGTTCGCTGGCCAGGGGAGGGCTCGATGAGGGAAGGAAAGTACACTATTTGGTACGGAGGAAGCGGGAATCATTGTTTAGGTACCGGGTTTCTAATTAGGAGTAGATTACTATCCGCTTTGAGGGACGTACAATTCTTTAGTGATAGAATTTCGGTAGCCACATTTCAGGGACGTTGGTTTAAAATCGCATTAATAAACATACATTGTCCGACCGAAGACAGTGACGATGAAGTCAAAAGTGAATTTTACGATAAACTCGAATGGGTTTATGATAAACTACCGCGAAACTACATGAAAATTATTGTAGGTGACGCGAACGCAAAGGTAGGAAGGGAAGAAGTTTATATTCCGACGATTGGTAAAGAAAGTTTGCACGAATATAGTAATGATAATGGGATCCGTCTGATAAACTTTGCCATCTCGAAAAACCTGATAATTAAAAGTACGACGTTTAAACATAAGGATATTCATAAATATACTTGGACATCACCGGATTCGCAAACACGAAATCAAATCGATCATGTCTTGATACAACACAGCTGGCAAAGCGGTATAATCAATGTACGGTCTTATCGCGGAGCAGAATGTGGGTCGGATCATGAATTAGTAATCGCGAAGCTTCGACAAAAACTTAATATAAAAAAGAGAAAAGAAAACCGTTTCGATTTTGAGAATTTTAATTTGGAAAAATTAAAAAATCCATCAATTAGAAACCAATTCGAGCTAGATGTTAAGAATAGGTTTGAAGCTTTAGAGCTTCCTGACGAAGACCACGAGGATATTGACAAGTTATGGGTAGAGATCAGGGATAATATTAAAGCGGTCGGTAACTCGTGTCTAGGAAAAAAGGAAAATAAGAATAACAAACCGTGGTTTGATGAAGATTGCTTAACCATGTGTGAAAAAAGAAAAGCCGCTAAATTAAAAGCTCTAAATAATCCTAGCGAAGACAATCTGGAATACTTCCGAATCTCAAAGAACGAAACGACAAAATTGCTCAAAAATAAAAAAAGGGAGTATCTTAAAAATAAAATAATTGAAATAGAAACTAATAGAATCGAAAATAACGTAAGAGACATGTAAAAAGGTATAAACAGATCACGTAAATACGTAGGGCCCGTAACGTCTGGAATTAGGGATGATAATAACAATATTCTGACCGATCTGGTTGACATATTGAATAAGTTTAAGGACCACTTTGACAATATTTTAAATACGGGAAATTATGATCTGTGTCCTCCTTCTGAGTACCAGAGTGCTGAACCGTTGATAGAAGGACCAAGTAAAGAGGAAGTTGAATTAGCTATCGGAAAATTGAAATCTTATAAAGCAGCGGGAACCGACAATATTCCCACTGAACTAATTAAGGCATGCGGGGAAGCTGGAGTTTCTAAAATACATCGGTTGGTTAAAAAGATCTGGGTGAACGAGAAATTACCTGAAGAATGGAAAGAATCTATTCTTATTCCGATTCACAAAAAGGGTCCGAGGACGGATTGTAATAACTATCGAGGAACTTCACTCCTTCCGGTATGTTATAAAATATTCACTTTAATCTTAACCAGTCGAATCACGGAATACGCCGAGGAAATTATCGGAGAATACCAATGCGGATTTAGACGGAACCGTTCGACTATCGATCAAATATTTTCTTTACGGCAAATATTAGAGAAAAAATTGGAGTATAAAGGTATTGTTCACCAGCTGTATATATATTTTAAAAAGGCTTACGATTCTATTGACCGCCAGAAACTGTATAATATTCTAATCGAGCGGGGGATTCCTAAAAAACTAGTAAATCTAGTCAGGATGTGCTTGACGGAGACACTCAATATAGTTAGAATCGGTAATAATTTGTCCGCTTGACCGTATATATATATCAATATATCCCTTCTGGAACCGATATGAATACAAATATAACTATTAAATACAAATAAATGCGGTTCCTGGAACCCACTACTCGCCGTAGAAACGCGAGGCCAGGAACATTGCATTTAAAATGGCATCCCTTGTGGGGAAGGTATCATTAAATTTACTATTTGTTTTTAGAATTTCGTTCCCATGATTAATAAAGGTGGCATTGTAATAAGTTGGTACTAAGAATCGTACAATAGGAAAACATCTCAGATTTAATTTAATTTGGATATTCGAAAATAATGAACTTGATTAGTTGAGATAGTTTAATATATAATTTGATTATTTACAAACTTTAGTTAAACGGGCATATAGATATTTATTTCTATTGGTATTTTCCTCAGCATCTGTTTTCTCAGTTTCCTTAATAGTAGTAAGAGGATACCATGCTCGTATACGATATTTAAAACCCATCACTCCATCGGGTAGGTCTTATTACGGTGGGTGTTGTCATTATTCATCAAGCAATTGGTGGTTTCCGCGGAATTTTCATACACGTTTATTCGTTTGATAAAATCAAAATGGAAAAGAAGCGCACGCGTTCCGCAAAGAGGACGATAGAAACTGAGATAAAAACCTTTCCGGAGGCTGACCGGGCAGAAGAAGGATCAGCATCAGAATCGGAGGATGTGGGAACAGAAGATCAAAGGGAGTCAAGCGAAAGAGTAGAAACCGTGGTCCCCGAAATAATTCAACCACAAGGAACCGCTGACAGAGTAACGGTAGATGATAATATCACCTTAGGAGGAAATAGTATGTTCTTACTACTCATCCTGAAAATGGAAGAAGGCAACAAAAAACTGCAAGACAATATTAGGAATTCGGAAAGAAGCCTAATGGAATTTGTAGACAGTAAAATCAAGAATGCCACCACCGACTTAAATAAAAAGATAGATGAGTTAGAAAAGGTCAGCCAAGAACATCAATTGGCATGTAATGAGAAGGGTAATAAGCTAGAGGAGCGAATCGACCGAGAAGTGAAGGACCTAGGCGATAAAATAGAAGAACTAAGGATCCAGCAGGAAGAACAGATGTCAGAGAAACTCCAGGTCGTCGAAGGTAAAATAGAACAATGCATGAACATTATCAAGTCCACCGGAGCATCTGTCAGAATGGAGTTGGAAACCAATAATGCCTCTCAAGAATCAGGGGCTACATCTCCACTGATGGGGCAAAGCAGATATTTTCCTGACATATGGAATATAGGACCCCTGATGACAAAGGAAAGGCAAATCTCGGAGAAGTGTAAATTTTCCAGCAGTAAAAAACATATACCGACCGAATTCATCACCCGGCTTCAATTAGAATACGACGTATACGGAAGGCATATGTTATTAGAATATTTTATAAAAGATCACTTGGAAGACGATGCGTTAGCATGGTACTCGACTAGTCAGGGCACAATGGCTACGTTTGAAGAATTCAAGAAAAAATTCCTTTCCAGATTCCACGGGTCTAAGTACGACCAGCTACTATATGAAGAACTTAACTGTGGTCTATACTTTAATAAGCTACACCTTTCCCCAACCGAATATTTTAGTAGGCTGGTTATTCGGGCCAGAGCATGTCAAAGTAAGCCCGAAGATGCATATATCTGTAAGACGCTAGGACGGCACTTCGGCCCGAAAATAGAAGAAATCGTCATCTACCAAGGGATTGATAACATAGATCGGTTCATGCAGTTATTAGAAGACGTGGGAAAGGAGAAAATAATGAAATCAAAGGAGTCCAGGATTGCAAAGGATTCCATTCCGAGTTCAGGGTGAAAGAGGGCCTATCAAGAGGACAGGGCCCGGGAGTATAACCAATATCGAGGAGTGGCCGACCGGGAGAAAGCAGCACAACCTAAGAGATGGTTTCAGAGAGATGTTCATGAGGACCAAGGTGATAATAGGAATGAACATAGG